AAAGATTAGACAGCCCCATAAAACAAAACGAGACTAATGGGCCACAACAGCCAAGCGACAAGGACTAGAAGGCAGGAGGGGGCAGGAAAGCTGGTAATAGGGAACCAAAGGTCGAGAACGGAGAGTGTTGACATGTTGTGGGGTTGTTAACCAATGTCATAAAACAGTATGTGTACTAACCGTTTAATGAGAAACTACTTGTTCTGTAAACCTTCACCTAAAGTACAATAAAAAAAAAAATTAAAAGAAAAAAAAAAAGAACAAAATCAGCCCCCTCTAGCATAGGGAAGTGGAAGCCCAGGGGTATTGATGTGCAATATGGCCTTCGGAAGAGTGAATGGGCAGCAGCTGACAAATCTTTAAGGGAAATTAAGCTTGCCTAGTTATTGTCTAAGACCTCAGGAAAGAGATTTTTTTTTTCTTCTTGGAGGGCCTGTCTCACAAGTAGACATCAGAATCCTCATATGAAAATGTAGTATATTTTTCCAGAAATGAACATGCCCCCCTATAGAAGGCTCCAGGAGTGCCAAAGGGAAAACGTATTATTCAGCACAGTCACAAATCACAATGCTTAAGTGTTTTCCTAGGATGTGGGACAAATGCACGCACGCGTGCGCGCGCACACACACACACACACTCACCACAAGGGCACCTAAGAGAGGACAGCTTGGCTAGGTATTCATCAGAAGACACAAAATGTTCTGCAACGGCCTTATTCACTCTGGTTTGTGCATCACCTGTTAGCTATCTCCTTGACTGAGGAAGACAGAGAGGTCCCTATGTACATTAACTCAATTTATCAAGTCAACAAATATGTACAGATACTTGCCATGTATGAGGACAATTCTAGGCCCTGAGGAGTTAGCAATGAACGAAACAGATAAAAATCTTTCACTCTTGGAGAAAACATTCTAGTAGGAGTGACAAGTGATGAGCAGATAAAAGATAGCTGTGAAAAGTAAGACAGGGCAAGGACAGTAAAGAGAGGGTGGCATTTTATATAGGGTGGACAGACAAGTCTTCTTTTGTGATATTAAAACAGAACAGAGACCTGAATGAAGTAAACAAGGGGGTCAGGAAGAATTCAAGTGAAGAAGTATTCCAGGCAGAGAGACAGCAAGTAAAGGAGTCTGTGGCAGAGGCATCCAGTAGGCAGAATAATGGTCCCACAAAGATTTCCAAATCTTAACTCCTAAAACTGAGAATATGTTAGGTTATATAGCAAACGGAAGTTAAGGGAGCATAGGGAATTTAAATTGCTCATCAGCTAACCTTAAAATGGGAACATTATCAGACAATATCCGGTGGGCTCAATGTATTCAAACGGGTCCTTAAAAGTAGAAGAGTGAGGCAGGAGAGATAGAGGCAAATGTGTCCACAGAAGAGTGGTCAGAGTGATGCAAGGTTGCTGGCTTTACAAGTGGAGGATGGAGGCCACAAGCAAAGGAATTTGGCAGCTTCTAGAAGGTGGAAAAGACAAGGAAATAGATTTTCCCTACATCCTCCAGAAAAGAAGGCAGCGCAGCTGACATCTTGATTTTACCACAGTAAAACTCATGTTGGACTTCCAACCTACAGAACTGTAAGATACATCCACTCCTCACTTATAGACATGGTTAGGTTTGAAAGAGACAGTTGTCATGCGAAAATTGGCATTATGCAAAAATGGAGGATGACCCTATCAGATTACAAAATGGAGGATGAATACATCATTACATAACTGCCAAATTATATTATTACATACTACCAAGTTACATCATTACATAACTGCCAAACTACTGGAAATCACGGCCCATCCAAGTTGACACATAACCTTAACCATCACAGCCAGCGCTACTCTCACCTCGCACCTCGGTGTTCATTACTGCAGAATGTACATCATTAACACACAAAATAGTAGGATAGTAGGTTTATTATTATTGTCGTAAATGCAAAAAGTCATACTCCATGAACCTCTGTAAGTAATGTAAGAAGCTGTCAAGTGTTTTAAGTAAAGGAAAGACTTAATTTGACTTACATTTCCCATAGATCACTTAGATGGCTACATGTCAAACAGAATTTAGGAGGGAAAGGGTGTAAGTGGGGCAATCAGTACAAAGGCTGTTGTGATAATCCAGTAGAGAGGTTTGGCAATTTGGATCAGGGTGACAGCAACAGGGGAGGCAGAAAGTAAAACAGATGGATAACCATCGATGAGGATTCCTAGTGGCTAGTTCTGATCTGAATTCCCTTCTCTTTGGGTTGCTGTCTTCATCACTGAAAGGCTTTTTCCTTCTTTCTAAGTGCCATGGAGCCCTGGTGGTACAGTGGTTAAATACTCAGACACTATCAAGAAGGTTGGTGGTTCAAACCAACCAGCTACTTTGTGGGAGAAAGATGTGACGGTCTGCTTCTGTAAAGATTACATCCTTAGAAACCCTATGGGGAACTTTCACTCTGTCCTAGAGGGTCACTATTATTAGAAATCGACTCGATAGGAACAGGTGTGGTTTTGGCTGGATATATCATATATCATGTTTAAACGGCTGGAGGCCTGCGAATGTTAAAAGTCAACTTTTTAAAATGAACACCCTACTGGTACAATTTACTGGAAATTTGCATTCCAACTGCATACTCATGAAGTAATCAGAAGCAGTGTTTTTCCAACATTTTTGTAAGATGACACACTTGAAGAAATGACATTTATTTCAACACCCAGGTGTATACGCATAAATACATATTACTAAAATGTAGGTTGACCTACTTCTAAATCAATGTCTGCTTTCATTAAATCTCCTCCTACTGGCTCTCACAACACACATGCAATCGGCCACAGTTTGTGCAGCAATGTGCTCCTTCCTTCCTAATGAACCCCGGTACTTTCTACTGTGTTTTATTTCTTAAAAAATTGTTGGTAGGAGAGTCAGTTCCCCAAACTCAGGTGACCATTCCAAGACCAATCAAAGCCTTGAAAATCTGAGGAGATAAAGACCCTCCAGAGAGAGGCTGTCCTCACCCACTGACACCAGGTTCCTGAAGTTTTCAACCATCACATCTCGGTACAGCTTCTTCTGGGCAGGGGTTAGCAGCCCCATCTCCTCCTCAGTGAAGACCACAGCCACGTCCTTGAATGTCACCGATTCCTACAACATCAAGCACAAGTATACCCAGTCTTACAACTATCATCCCCTTGAAAAGGTTGGGAGGATGGGGGGAGTCATTCCAGATTTTGGGGAACATGAGTAAATGTGTAGATTTCCCAGCCTTTCTCCTTCTATCCTGCCAGTGCCATGCATGAGTTTTCCTTAGCTTCACGGACAGTGAGGCTATGGATGAAAACCCTTAGACTTTTACTTGGTGTTCTCAGAGAGTAACCTCTAGAACTCAGAATGTTACATGCTGGGTCTCACAGAGTTTACATTTTGATTTATATTGCCAAATGCCTCAGAAAAGATGGTCAATTTATTTTCAGTACAATTTGATGGTACCCACTGTCCTCCAACCACAGACACTGACTCTGGTAGCACTATTCATGAATGTTTGCCAAACTAATGATCTTTTGGTATTCTGTCTTGGACAGGTATGTAGTACATCCTCTCAACTCTCAAGGCACACACACCATCCAGGAATTCCAACATTCAATGCACAGAGTTGTAGCTACCATGCCTATTCCCATGATCTGTCCCTTACTAGGCAGGTGAACTTGGACAAGTTTTCCTACATATCTAAGTTTCCTCTTTGTATCATAATTCAAATAGTTTGTGCAACACAAGCTTCTTTCAAGGATAAACAAGGAAATACACACACAGAGATACACACACACATACATGTATACACACAGACACACACACATCACTCAGTGTGGCACAAAATAAGTGCTTAATAAATAATAGCTATCATTATTAGAATTAATTATTATCAAAATTGTTACCTATTTCAACCCATTTCATAGTTGCATAGGTGTGAAACCCAAGTGTGAAACAAATAATTTGGTTGGCATTTGTCTCTGGTTCCTGGGAGGTAGCCTCTAAATCCTTGGAATTTCCTTAGTTATCGGAGCATCTTTGTTATCCCTGATGGTCCTCTGGGACTACACCTGGAGCTTATGCTAACAAGGTGACTAAGGACTGGGGCTGACCACACCAGAAAGACCGCCATGTGATCAGAGGTTTAGAGCTTTGACTCACATGATACCAGCCAAACTTCCAGGATGGTAAGGTGGCTTGATTTTGAATTCAATCCTGTGGCCTTGATTCAATCATGCCTATGTGCCATGCAACGAATTACTTAATATGGCACGTCTAGCCATGGTTTTTGTGACTCACACACAATGAGTGGGAATATAGAACCAGTGATAGTAGGGGTTATATGTCAACTTAGCTAGGCCATGATTCCAAGTATTATATGGTTTTCCATATAATTTTATGTGTTGTAAATCCTAACCTCTACATGTTAATAAGGCAGGATTTCTGTGGGGTATATCCTAAGTCACAGCCTTATAGGAAGGGGTGACTCAAGTCCTACCCTTACTCAAGTTACGCCCTTCACTGGGGGGTGGTCTGCATCAAAGGTATATATGTGGGTGCCCTGGCGGGGCTCTCTCTCTGTGCATCTGGATCCTGTGTCCAGTTTGTTACTGTCTGACCTCCAGTTCTTGGGCCTTGAGCAACAGGCCTGCTGTGTGACCTGCTGATTCTGGGATTTGCTGGCTTCTGCAGCCCTGTGGGCCAGCGACCTATCGTCTGACCTCATTCGCCAGCTTCCATAGCCTTGTGAGCCAGTAGCCTGCAGCCTGAAGTGCTGGTTTGGGTTTGTCATCTACAGCCATGTGGCTCGGGAGAAGCCCATGCCTGACCCACGGATTTGGGACTTGCCATCCTCCATAGCAGCTAGAGACACTTCCTAGATAGAGTTCGTGAGTTCTGTGAGACACCGCAGCAAATTAGGGAACCCAAAGACAAGGAAGAGAGCACTGAGGGTACGAGGAGTAGCTGATGTTAGAGATGATGGAATGGTACAGCAATTTGGAAAAGAGGGACATTAGGGACATATTTAACCTCAACCTAATAGGAACCAGCTTTGTGCTAATCCTTATACAACTAGTCTATAGAACTAATACTCCTCAAGAACCATGGCTACAATAAACAAACTATGGTACATACACTCAACAGAATACTATGCAACAATAAAGAACAATGATGAATCTGTGAAGCATCGCACAACATGGATGAATCTGGAGAACATTATGCTGAGTGAAATAAGTCAGTCACAAAAGGACGAATATTGTATGAGACCACTACTATAAAAACTCATGAAAAGGTTTACACACAAAAAGAAACAATCTTTGATGGTTACAAAGGAGAGGAGGAGTGGGGAGAAAAAACACTAAATAGACAAAAGATAACTGGTAACCTCAGTGTAGGATAAGACAGTACACAATACTGGGGAAGTCAGCACAACTTGTCCAAAGCAAGGTCACTGAAGCTCCAGAGACACTCCTAAATACCCTGAGGGACCAAATTACCAGGCTGAGGGCTGCGGATACCATGGTCTCAGCGAACATCTAGCTCAACTGGCGTAACATGGTTTATAAAGAAACTGTTCTACATTCTAATTTGGTGAGTACCCTCTAGGGTCTTAAAAGCTTGTGAGCGGCCATCTAAGATACTCCACTGGTCTCACCCTGTCTGGAGCAAGGGAGAATGAAGAAAACTAAAGACATAAGAGAAAAATTGGTCCAAAGGACTAATGGACCACAAGTAACACAGTCTCCACCGCACTGAGTCTAGCACAACTAGACGGTGCCCAGCTACCACAACTGACTGGCCTGACAGGAATCACAATAGAGGGTCCTGGACTGAGCTGAAGAAAAATGTAGAACAAAATTCTAACTCACAAAAAAAGAAACCAAAGACCAGACTTACTGGTCTGACACAGACAGGAGAAACCCTGAGAGTATGGCCCCTGGACGCCCTTTTAGCTCAGTAATGAAGTCACTCTTGAGGTTCACTATTCAGCCAAAGATTAGGCACTCCCACGAAACAAAACAATACTAAACGGGCGCACCAGCCCAGGGGTAAGGACAAGAAGGCAGGAGGGGACAGGAAAGCTGGTAATGGGGAACCCAAGGTCGAGAAGGGGAGAGTGTTGACATGGACAGGTGGAGACTGGAGGACTCCCTGAGACTATTGCCCTGAGATACTCTTTAAATCTTGAACAGAAACTAGCACCTGAGGTCACCTTTTAGCTAAATAACAGATTGGCTCACAAAATAAACAATATTACCTGTGAGTACTGTGCTCCTTTAAAAGAAAAAATCATCTCTATGAGACCAAACGATCAACAGTTACTATAAAACAAAGATGAGAATATAAAGGGGCAAGGAAACGGAATTAATAGGAACAGAATAACAAGAACAGAAATATTGAGAATGTTCCCACATGGCGAAAAATGTAACCAATTTCACTGAACAATTTGTGCAGAAATTGTTGAATGAGAAACTAAATTGCTGTGTAAACCTTCACCGAAAACAATAAAATATTATTTAAAAACAATAAAATTCCTAAGCCACTTCCATGTCTAAGAGAAGCAAGTAGTTAAAAATACAAAGGTGTAGTAATTCAATTGGAAAATGATGAAATGATAAAAAAAGATTGTTTCACAATGGTAAATGAAAAATGGACAATTTAAAATTAGGTGTATATAATGGATACAATAAGTTATAAAAGTACATGTGGAAAGGAATATGAGAAAATACAAGCAGCTAATTAGTAAGGGAGTAGTAAAGTGAGAGAACTGTTCATTCCTATTCCTTCTTTTATACTTATTTTTAAGAGAAAAAAAAGATAAAATATTAGAAAAATTAAAAACAAATTCAAAGTCAGCCAAAAACATACAAACCAAGCACCTAACAAACAATAGGTCCGCAAATGTCTCGTTTTCTTTGAGGTTTTAAAAAAAAGTGAAAACCAAGTGTCCATCTGTGTAGTGAGAAGGAATTTTAAGAGTGAAAAGGTAAGCCCCACTCACTGTGAACGTGCTCATTTTTCTTCCTACTTCTGGCGTTGTTCAGAGTCCTGAGATACACAGAGTACCAGGAATGCCGAACTAGGGAAGGAGAAGGAAGACATAAAAAGGTGGCTAACCTTCGTGAACGCATATTGTGAATTAGCCTCTTTGTCCGGGTGACTGCAGCTGCACACAGCCTGATGTGCAGAGCATGATGTGGACACCAGATGCCCTTGACCCCTTTCAGTCTGGGTTCAGTGAACACTCTGCACAGCTACACACAGTGGCCCCATCACTAGTGTTTCCTTTTGGCCCCCAAGATAGCAACTGTGATTCTGGTATGATAGCATTTCAAGCAATATAACATACTGAATAAGAGTCAGCTCTGGGGTCAGTATATACATGGGTTCAAATCTCGGTATGGCTTCTCACTAGCTGTATCATATTGCGCAAATTAATCAGAATTCTTTGGTCAATTCTGTCATCTGTGAAACAGGAAGTAAGAGTCCGCACTGACAGGATTGTTGCAAGGGGGAAAACTCTTAGAACTGTATCAGAGTTCTTATTTCTTTTCAGTTATAGAACAGCACGTGATATTCCGTAGTAGGCAATTATCCTTACAGATTTAATTTCTACCAAATTAACAGGGTCAGATACATGGACTTCTGATGTGACTACTGCTGAGTGGAAGTCCCATGTGTCCTCTGAAAACTCTCTTAAATGGGCTTGTCTGTGTTCCCTAATATTGCTGCCTTAACAATAATATTTAAATTGGCACAATCATTTTCTAAAAGGTGTGAAAACAAGTGAATTTCTGTCATTAAGCAGAAAGGTCCCAAAGAGGCCTATTTATCATCATAAAAAGCTGCAACACAAATGCTGGCAAATCTTATAGTATCCCTGAATGTTTTAAACTAAGGTTATACATTTCTTTGATAAAATTAATTGAAACATGGAAGAATAAAATAGATAAACATGCTTAGAGGAAAAAAATTAATTTTTTGTTTTCATTAAATAAACACAAGATTCTGGAAAAAAAAAAGTTTGATGAAGCCACTTTAGAAAACAGTTTGTCAGTTTCTCAAAAAGTCAAACATGAAACTACCACACATCCTTGTGATTCCCTGCCTAGGTATCTACCTGGGAGGATGAAAACATATGTCCACTTAAAGACTTGTCCATATATAGAAATGGTTTAAACACAGAAGAAAACATTCTTTGATGGTTACGAGGGTGGGGAGGGATGGAGAGGGGTTTTCACTAACTAGATAGTAGATAAGAATCATCTTAGGTGAAGGGAAGGACAACACACAATACAGGGGAAGTCAGTACAACTGGACTAAACCAAAAGCTAAGAAGTTTCCTGAATACAACCAAACACTTTGAGGGACAGAGTAGCAGGGGCGGGGGACCATTGTTTCAGGGGACATCTAGGTCAACTGGCATAACAAAGTTTATTAAGAAAACGTTCTGCATCCCACTTTGGTGAGTGGCATCTGGGGTCTTAAAAGCTAGTGAGCAGCCATCTTAGATACATCAATTGGTCCCAACCCAACTGGAGCAAAAGAGAAGAACACCAAAGACACAAGGAAAATACTAGCCCCAGAGACAGAAAGCGCCATGTAAACCAGAGACTCCATCAGCCTGAGATCAGAAGAACTAGATGGTGCCCACTACCACCAATGACTGCCCTGACAGGGAATACAACAGAGTCCCTGATGGAGCAGGAGAAAAGTGAGGTGCAGAACTCAAAATCTAGTAAAAAGAGCAGACTTAATGGTCTAACTGAGACTGGAGGGACCCCGGAAGACATGGCCCCTGGACTCTCCGTTAGCCCAGAACTGAAACCATTCCTGAAGCCAACTCTTCAAAGAATAGACTGGACTATGGGACATAAAACGATATTCATAAAGAGAGTACTTCTTAGCTCAAGTAGATACATGAGACTAAATGGGCAGCTCCTGTCCCGAAGCAAGATGAGAAGGCAAAAAGGGACAGGAGCTGGCTGAATGGACACGGGAGATACGGGGTGGAAAGGAGGAGTGTGCTGTCACATTACAGGGAGAGCAGCTAGGGTCACATAGCAATGCGTGTATAAATTCTTGTATGAGAAACTGACTTGAACTGTAAACTTTGACTTAAAGCACAATAAAATAATAATAAAAAAATAAAATAAAATAAAAACGACCTGTTCATACAAAGACTAGCATGTGTACGCACCCCATAGGGTTGCCGAGGCTGTAAATCTCTCTGGAAGCCAACTGCCACATCTTTCTCCCGAGCAGCCACTGGTTGTCTTAGACTGCTGGCCTTTCAGTTAGCAGGCAATTGCTTTAACCACAGTGCCACCAGGGCTCCTTAACTGTATGTTCATAGCAACATTAATCATAAAAGCCCCAAACTGAAAACAAGAGTGGGTTCTGAGTCTATACTGACATAAAATTTATATTTGAAAGAATAAATAAAAAGGGGAGAAGTTGGTCTTTACAGTAAAATGCTCAATAATAAATGTGTCTCCCCAAAATTTATTACCTACGAAACGTAAAATAGTACCTTTTCAGTAGAGACTTTTGACAGACATGTGAACAGAGTTGAGATCACCAGTACTGGGAGAAACCCACATCACTAGCCTCTCGACATGTTGCACTGGAAAGACTCCTCACCACTTCTGTGGGATCGCTGCCAATACTGCGTCATCCGAACCGAAACCTGAAAAATACCAGATAGTCCCCAGATGAAGGCCTTTGTCGAAATCCCTTGCCCATACTTTTCAAAAACAACAAGAACAAAAAAAAGAAGATTGAAGAATTACTCTAGATGAAAGGAGAGTACACAAACATGAGACCTAAAGGTAATACATAAATCAGACCCTGAACTGAGAGGAAAACCTTTATAGAAGACTTATTTTGGGACAAGAGAACAAATTTAAATATGGACTGTGCATTAGATAACAGTATGTTATCTAACATGTTTCCTACTATTATCTAAGAGATAACAGTATTAGCTATTTTTATCTAGTACAACATTTAAAAGCATCTAGTATATTAGGCTATCACATATTGGTGATGTAACAGTAGAATTCTTGCCTTCCAGGCAGGAGACCCGGGTTTGATTTCCAGGAAATGCACCTCATGCAAAGACACCACTCTATGATGCTTAACAGGTTTCAGCGGACCTTCCAGACTAAGACTGACTAAAAAGAAAAGCCTGGTGATTTGCTTCTGAAAATCAGCCAGTGAAAACCCTGTGGATCACTACGGAATGCTGTCAGATCTACAACTGATCGGGGGAATGGCCCAGGACCGGGCAGTGTTTCATTCTGCTGTGCAGGGGTCACTACGAGGTTGGCCCAACTCTAAGGCAGCCAACACTATATTATGCTAAAACCCTGTAACCAGCCCCTCCTATCTCTTACAAAGCCACTCCATGATATCCTGCTGTGTGTGGGCTTCCTTGCCACAACAAGCTAAGTAATCTGTCTTTGGTTACAGGTGACGAGGTTTCCATACCACAGGGTCTGGAAGGTGGTGCGCCTGCGCAGGGCTGGAGGCGCCTACACTCAGAATCCAGACAGCACGGGCAACACCCAGAGTCTGAGGGCGGGGCCATTGCCTAGAGGTCTGGGAAGAATAGAGGATTATTTTCAAGCCTTGAGAGCTACTGTAATTTCTTCTGCTGGGTTTTGGACTAACTTGGTTCCCGTTATTCCTTCTTTACCTCCAGCTTCTGCCATTTATAATTGAAATGTCTACCTTGTTCCTGTTCCATCACTGTGCTCTAGAACATCTTATATTCCAGATTTCAGAGGTTCACAGACAAAGAGGACTTTTGCCCCAGGATGCAATACGCCTAAAGTCTCACCCATATTTGATTTAGACAATTCAAAAGATAACATTTTGGACTTAAGAGTTGATTTAAGACTTGCGATAATGTGATGAAGTGATTGTGTTTTGCATGTGGGAAGCACACATGAATTTTGGGGTAGAATGTTACGGATTGAATTGTGTCCCCCAAAAATATGTGTTGTAAACCCTACCCATTATTTAAAAAAAAAACCGTTGCCGTTGAGTCAATTCCAACTCATATATGTGGTTACAATTCCACTTGGGAATGGGTTTTCTTTGTTTAATTAATGAGGCAGTATCAGTGTAGGGTAGGGTGTGTCTTCAGCCAAACACTATATATTATGCTAAAACCCTATAACCAGCACCTCTTAACTGCCTCTTACAAAGGCATCCCATCATTCCCTGCTATGTGTGGGTTTCTTTGCTGCAGCAAGCTAAAACCACCTGTCTTTGCTTACAGGTATATTCCTGACGGTATTCAGCTGACGTTCGTCAAGAAAGCAAAGAAGCAGAATGTAAACAATTGGTGAATCTGAGTATAAGGTATATGAGAGTTCCTGATACTCTTTTTGGAACTTTTCCAAAGCATGGAAATAATATAAAATATTAAAAAAAATCAGGAAGTAGTCTTACTAATTGTAATAGTAATGAAAATAATAGTAAGGATGATGATGATAATATATAGAAGTTCATTAGTGTATTCTTTCTTGGAAGTGTTCAGAAATTTCCATAGTTAAAAAAGATAAGGGGAAAAACATTATGGAAAGTATAATTTTTGTTTAACGTTTCTATATAAATGAATACACAAATATCCGCAAAGAACCACTATACAGAAATGTATCCCGAGCTTTACAGTTGCTATCTTTATATTCTGGAGTCACAGATAATTAAAAAAAACTTTTTCTCTGCTTATTTCTGTATTTTCTGAATTCTCCACTATCACATGGTTCTATAAGAATACAAAACAGCTTTTCCACTAGGCCGTTTCGCTTCAATGAGGGCCTTAGACAGCCATGGTGCACAGTCGGAATGACATGATCCTGGAGCACCACTTCCAGAAGGACGAGCAGCAGCAAGTACATAGCCGCATGTTTCAACCAGCCAGTGCGGAAGATCCGCAGACACAAAGCCCGGCAAGCAAAAGCCCCCAGCACCACCCCGCTTCCCGCATCCTGACCTATGCACCCATAGTGCAATTAGAGTCACATAACAATGTATGTATAAATTTTTGTATGGGGGAAAAAAAACCCACAAAAAACTAGCATCTGATATAAAGTTGACAAATATAATTAAAAAGAAATAAATAAAATAAGGAAAAAAGCAGTAGCACTTCACAGAGCCACTATGTAGAATCATGTAGTGTTAAAAAAATAATCAACACTCAAAGAAATTGAAACATAGCATTGGTTCTGTGCAGTTATTGTATATGCGTATAGAAAGAATATTTTGATTCCAGAAAAAGCAAATGACTCGAAGTTAGAACGAGGCCTATAAAGAGAAGAGGAGAGAAAAGGCTAGAACATTGACCACTGACCAATCTCCACATAACTGACTGAACCCTGGCCTCCCCTTTTACTGAGATCAAATGATATCAAGTCACAAGGTGGTCTCAGGCCTTCCACCCACCTTCAGCCATGCCTTCTGAAATTCCAATTTAGTAAGCCTGGCTTGGGAACAGGAAAGAAAAGATCAGCAACTCAGGGTAAAAGAAAAGGCACTGGCAGAATGAAATTTAGTTGGGGATTTCTTTACAGTGAATATTTGGTTTCATGAGTAAGAAAACCTTAAAATCAAAGTAAGATGTCTGTTATTATTTTTTCTGTTTGACAGACTAATTTATATAAAACCTTTAAGAATGGAACTTGGCAACTAAATCTTAACCCATGCCAGAGTACATGTCACACACTCTACAACACACATGAAAATCTCTGTGGAAGAACACCAAGTCCTCCTCACCTGGGGCTCTCCTACCAGTAGCCAAGGAGTCTCTGCCTCCACCTCCATGCAGTCCTTTCAGAGAAGTGGGGGCTGGTGAAAGAAAGGAGGCTGTGAATACAATGATTCCATCATTGTCCCCGATACACCACAGTTCATTCTCCTCACTCTGACCGGCTAGAAGCAATTCCCTCCTTCCTAAGAGGTCAGAGGGGATCCAAGAACATCCCACTTCCTGTAGTACTCAGAGACAAGGGCCAGGTCCACTGCAGCTGGAGCTCGGACTGCACTCTTGATTCAAAGTGTTAACAGAAAATAAAGAACAAAGAAATGAAAATATACAGGGTTCATTCCAGCAGTTAATCTCCATACACACAGAAAGACTCCTCTGTTAAGGAAAAACGGGAGGGCCCAATGAGGGACAGTTACAATGAGGTACTTTTTAAAAAATTCTGGTTAAAATATACACATAAAAACATTCGACAATACACCAACCTCCACATGTATAATCACTGTCATTGATCAGTTTTTATAATGAAGTTTTTAAAGAGAAAAGGAGGAAGTAAAATAGAAAAAATTCATCTGGCTAATCTTAATCTGATTGTTTGAACCATGCCCCCTTTCCGAGATCAGCTGCCAGCAGGTTACTAAGTGGTCTCTGGCCTGCCCCCCGCCCCCCATGTATTTGCACAATTCCTCAGGTATAGTCCGGAGATCTTAAAACAATAAAGCACCTCAATTGCTTAGGAAACTCCAAAGGGCTAAATCATCCTTTTGGTTGAATTTAAAATTCTTTGCACCAACATTAAACGAGGTTTTGGTTAACCTATGTCTTATCATAGAGGGGTTTGCGAAGGAAGACTTAATCACTAATCATTGTGTCCATGTGGGCCTCAATTTCCTAATTATTAACAGAGACCCTAGAGAAGCGCTTCTCAGGAAATGAAATGCTAGTAGTACCAACCAGAAGGTCGCCGTGAGTCGGGAATCAACTCGTCGTCCGCAATGTGTTTTTATGGGTAACAACGAGAAATCACCATTCATCAAGTGCCAGGAATTGTTTTAAAGCTTTCATTGATACTACCTCTTCTGTCAAAACAATTCTATTATGGAAGTACTTGCTGTTGGCCGACGAGTGGGCTTCGACTCACAGCGACCCTACAGGATAGAGTAGACCTGCCCTATAGGGTTTTCTAGGCTGTAATCTTTACGGAGCAGATTGATCATCAAGTAGTTCCTCCCGAGGAGGGCGCAGCGGCTGGTGGGTTTGAACTGCCTACCTTTCCGTTAGCAGCCGAGCGTTTAACATTGCGCCACCAAGTCCTCTTCACGAAAATACTAATATCCCCTTCATATAGAAGCGCACCAGAGACAGATGAAGTAACTCGCGCAGTCCTGTACCGAGAGGAATTGCCAGCGCATGTGCAAGGTGGAGGAAAGCGGACCGAGGAGCTATGACCTACGGAGACGCTCAAATAAGGCCCGACCCGAGCCAGTCCCAAACACCGGGACGCGCGAATCGCCTCCAAATGGAAAAGTCTCCGCCAAAGAAATGCAAACCGCCACACTCGCCTTTCAAACCTCCGTTTGCGCCGCGAATTCTTTCCACTAAATCGATTTCTGGTTGTTGCAGGTCCCTAAAGCAGGTCCTGAAAATGTGGAAGATTCTCAGGACGGAAGAGCAATAATCACCATGAGGAAAAACATGGCAGGGACCTCAACTCCTGGAGCGAAGCTTCTGGACTACATTTCCCAGAATTCCGCACATATGCCTGTCTGCCTGAGCGGAAGTGCCCGGGAATCAAGGGGAATGCCTTATGTAGGGGATCAGTACATGACTGAAAGGAGGAGGCCTATGGAGTATGAGGAGCCTTGGGAGTGCAGTGGTTAAACGCTCAATTGCTAATCGAAAGATGAGTGATTCAGACCTACCCAGCCATTCCATTCTGCGGAGAAATTCCTGCGATCTGCTGTCATAAAGGTCACAGCCTACGAGGCAATTCTACTGTGACATGGGGTCGCTTCTAAGAGTGGAAAATCTACTGGACGGCACACAGCAAGGGTTAGTATATTTGACACTATGAGGCTAGTTAAAGAATGGACGAGGTAGTATGGTTTGGGAG